CAGCTCCCACCTAAAAAATACTGAATTAGAACCACCGTGTGTGGGGCCCAGCAATCTGTGTTTTAATGAGCCCTCCAGATGATTCTGGTGCTAGCTAAAGTTTGAGAACCAATGATACCAGCAAACCATCTAGACAGATCCCCTTGCACATAAGGCTGGAGGAAAGAATGATCTACACTGGTGCTTCTCAACTCTTGAGTGTTTGTTCAAAGCAAGGGATCCCAGCCCAGAAAAATGCATACCCACGTGGAAGTTTCAGGGCTGGGTGGCCTGGGTGAAAGACCACCACTCTTTGGCAATCCAGAGGCTCTGCTCTTCTCTGGGTCTAAGGCTGACCTGCAGAGAATCTTAGAGCTGAAAGAGACCTTACAGGTTACTTAGTCCAACCAAAGTAGGAATCTGCTCCAGAATATCCACAGAGCCTCAGCATTAGCTGGGCCCTTCCAGAGACTGGGAGCTCACCGCTTCCTAAGAGCTTGTTTGCAATTGTCCTCGATTTATTTGGGGAGAGTTAGTGCTTGTTCACTCCTACATAGGTCTAGATCAACCAAGCTCCAATAACTTGGTTGAAATAGGCTTATAAACCCCAACTAAAGGAAGTATGTGACTGCCCTAAATGGTAGAAATGAATGCGGTATTTTTAAAATAACCTATCTCAGTGGTGGTGATGGAATATCCTCCTTTACAGTGATCCGAAATCTACCTCCCTGCAACCTCCCATCCGCACCCTGGTTTCGGCTTCGGAGCCACAAGGAGCAAACCCAAGGTCTTGCTTAACAAAAGACAGCGTTTACTCTTCATGGGCCTCGCTTGGCGCCGCAGCGCAGGGAGGGTGGTCTCTGGCTACCCTCAGCCGCCGGTTCAGAAGATGCAGGTGCAGCCCACTGCAATGGTCTCCATGACGGCACGCTGGCGGCAGGGGCCAGGGCGTGGTGGCAGCGGGCAGAGGCGACGGCGCACTGGCACCTGGCTGAACACGGGCACGCTCACCATGCTGCGGTCCTCCTGCATGGTGAAGGGGTTCACGCAGCCCAGACACAGGCACCGCGCCTCCGGCAGGTCCGCAGGAATGCGGCTCGGGTCGTGGTTGATGCTGCAAGAAGGCAGGAGAGAGCCCTGAGTGGCAGGTGCCCAGGACAGGGCAAATCCGTGCCCATGCCCCACGCCCCTACCTTTCCTAACTGGGGTTTTCTGCCCCGCAGCAAGGCTGTGCTCTGCTGGGGCCTGGGCAGTGATGAACTCCGGGTTCCAGGTGAGAAAACCGAAGATCTTAGAAGGCAAGCCAGCCCCAAGGTTATCCAGGCTCAAGGTCACCAGTCAGTCACCCAGTTCCCTTCCTTCATCCCCAAGTTGCCCATCCCAGTACTAGATTGTACTGTGGGATCGCAAAGAAGCCAACGCTTTCTCTGTCTCGCGCCCCCTCCCCCGCCACGTGTTTATGTTTACATATAACTTCATCCACGGGAAATGACGTAGGAGCATGTTGATGCCTAATCCTCACCGGAAGAGGAGTCAGGAGGCCTGGGTTCTATTCTGACGGCGTTTCTCTTCATTCAAGACATGCTTTTCACACACCCACCACGTGAGTGAATCTGCCCTAGGCATGAGGTGTTCACTGATGGACAGCACACACAGGTTCCCTCCTAGAGCTGAGAGTACAGGGACTTGCTTTGTGACCTCGCCTTCCTTGTGCCTCAGCTTTCTCGTCTGCTAAATGGGAGGGAGGGAGTTTGTGGACCTGCAGAATCTGCATCACTCAGGAGCTTATTAGAAATGCAAAATCTTGGGGCGCCTGTGTGGCTCAGTCTGTTGAGCGTCTGCCTTCAGCTCAGGTCATGATCTCAGGGTCCTGGGATCGAGCCCC